TATACTGCTGCAAACTTCATATACAATAGAAACATTAAATTTATTATTGTTTTTATTGATATAGAGAAAAAAGGCTAATTACTTAAATAGGAAAAATTTCAGCTACAGTGCCTTTCTTCTATATTCAATAATATAAAAGAATACAATTTAAATGGAAACAATAATTGGTAATCTAGCACTTTGGTATTATAATTTCAAATTGTTTTTTTATCTCCCAAGACGAACTTCTGGGAAATAATGCTATGCTAAGTTGGTTGTACTGACTGCACATTTTTAAAATAAAACAATATGCAATAAAACAAAAATATTTTAATAGTGAGTGAACATTTTCACATTTAAACTGGTATTTCCCATAATTAGCTTAAATTAGAATATAACTTTATCCATCACTTTTAATTCCAACTGATTGTAAGAAAAAGTCAAAGGCCTTAATTGGCTATTGCTACAAATAAGTACAGTATAACTGAGTATTTACCTGTAATATGCTAATAAGCCAGCTTTGTTCCATTAAAAACAGTTCTTTCTTCCTTGACTTCCCACTTTATTCATTCTGGTTGCATGAGTGAATGAACAGTTGCTAAAATTTCTCCCCACTAGCAAACCTGGGATGATGACCAGTGGGTGTTGGGACTAGGGCCAACAGGAGGACTTGAAACATGTTTTTTTGTGAATCTCTTTCTACAAGTCTCCATTGTCCATTGTTCAAGGACTTCTTCCTCCCTCCCTGGCCCTAGGCCTCTGTTCTATGTTTGCATCCCACCCTCTTTCCCTTCTCTCTCCTCAGTGGTCATTATCACAGCCAATATTTTTATTCTACAGTTAACACTTCTGATTCTTAAATTAAAATGTGAGTGAGAAAATTATTTCTTGCTTAAAAAAAAAAAGGAAAGTGTGTGTGTGTGTGTGTGTGTGTGTGTGTTTATGCATTTCCTGTGATCAGCTGGTCAACAGAATAGCTAAAGTGAGATTCTTTTTCTTTTTTTTTTCCACATCAAATAGGTAGATGCCCAATACTTGTTTTCGTTTCAAGGTTATTTGCCATATTGTGCCTCCTACAAGTCTTAGCCACATGGGAGACTGCAGAAGTACTGTGGATTGAGTCAAGTATTATGACTAATGCCAAATAATTGGGTTGATCTGCTCACAGCAAAGAGGTGCAGTTGAACTAGGATACATTCAGTCTTTTACTCCTAAAGGAATGTGTTTATTCTGGCAAAAATTTTCCAGTAAATTTCCATTAAGATAGCACATGTGGAGAAAATGCAAGGGCTTTGAATAACAGCATTGTTACATAAATACACCGTCTATATCAAGCCTGGCTTTCAAAGCATTCATAAAGCAAAAATCTAATAGCTTAGAGCTGATGAATCAGCTCAATATTTCACTTTGATAAGATTCAGAAGCTGAATAGGCGTGTGATAACCTGAAGATACCGAGTTTTGTTTTGCTTTTCTTTCTTTCTTTTTTTGATCACAGGTAAATATTGCAAGAAAACATTTTCTTTTTGAAATATTAGGGAATAGAGAATAGGGAGAAGGCAATCATCCAGTAATAAACTACCCTCCTTAGCCACCCTGCCATGTAGTTTAGATTCCCTGCAAAAATGTAACTGAACACTCTTTAATTATAGTTTACATCAATAAACACGTGTGTCATTTCTATTTTTCTTTGAATATACCCTCCTTTTGTACTCCAGACAGATTGTGACTAAAATTCTGGCCCTTCGTAAAGTGGCCTCGTGTGGAGGCCAGCTAACTGGTTCCCTCTCTTCTGTTTTTTTTTAAGAGTATATTATACCATACCATATTCATTCTGAAAATTGCATTGCAAAACATAAAGCAACATCTGCTAGACATAATGAACTGCAGAGCAGAAATATGTGATATTTCCAAAAGAAAGATCCAAGCAGAAATGTGGTGGTGAAATCATTCAAAGAAACACAGTTTATACCACAGGCAACAACAAATTACTCCCACCTGACTTACTGACAAGTGAATGCTTCATGTTCTTTTCTCTCACTCCCCTTCTAGAATTCGATAATGCTAATCATCCTGTGGTCACGCTTCAAAAACTCTCACATTTCTCACCTTCTACAACTCGAATGTCAGAGCTGAACAGTCCTTTAAAGAAGTTGCCAGCGTTGCACTATAAAGTTTTGCATCCTAGCTAGCTGCACATGCCACAGTCTAACACCTCACGGTATTATCACTTTGCCTTCTTCCCAGGGCACTAACATCACCAGCAAATACTCACTTTACAGACTTTATGGACCTTTGTGGAATATGCCTTCATTTTCATCTTGCGAGCACTTCATCCACGCTGTATTTATAAAGGGAGCTCTGGTGGCATAGTCCCTAAGGCCTTTGACTGCTAACCAGAAGGCTGGCGGTTCAAACCCACCAGCCACTCCTCAGAAGGAAGGTTGGGCAATCTGCTTCCATAGCGATACTGCCTCGGAAACCCAAGGAGGGGTTGCTATGAGTCAGATCTGACTTGATGGAAGTGAGTTTGGTTTGGTATTTATAAAACTTAGAACTTTGTTTCCTTGTATTTCCTCAGGTGTATTTTATCCAATTTTCTGTGGCAATTTTCCCACCTGGTCAGTAAATTTCAAATGTAGTAATAACATTCAGTGTATTAAGCTATTTATTTTGTCTTTTTTTTTTTTTTTTTTTTGTAACCAATAGCCTTTGAGTCAACCTTGACTGACAACAACCCCGTGGGAGTCAGAGTAGAACCATGCTCCATAGGGTTTTCGGTGGCTGATTTTTTTTTAATTTATTTTTTATTTTTTTTATTGTGATTTGGGTGAAAATTTACAGAGCAAATTCACTTTCCATATGGCAGTTC